TGCTACTGATAAACAACTGTCACATTTTGGGACCACAAAAGGTCCCTTTAATTCATCTGGGTAGATCAGAGTCTGCGTGAAAGTGTGAAAAATCTCAGCCCTCAGCCGTGCTGTTTATTAGGAGAAGCAACTGAACCAACCATAAGAAACCACACCAAAACACAACGGCTGATGTGTATAAAGAGTAGGATGTTGGCATCTGATAGCCGGCAGTTACTCAAGCTTTGGAAACCCTAAATGAGCTGAGGGTGACCACAGTCTGAACTGATGTGTCTTCATACTGTATTTTCTAACACTGGTAAGAACACTGCAGAGAGTAAATTATAGCTTAGCGTGCAGACAAGTCCATTATGATAATAGGTCAGAGTGAATGGGACTGGAATTATTTTGACTCCCTGAACTGAAACAGCTAAGTTGGTGGGATGACTTCATAAAACTGGAGTTTATAAGCCACAGTTTACTTGTAATTCGGCATTGTAAACCAACAGGCCAAGTTATTTTTAACCATCAATTATATTAACAAATAAATGTTTCATTAGGAAAAGTAGGAAAATAGGGAAAGTATTTATTTGATGTAAAGCCCAAACTTTACATATATGAACTTTATTTCAACAGCTCCTTACACAGTAAGCTGTAAAACAAACTATTTATGGAGACAAAGTGTACGTCCAAAGTTATTTAATCATGAAAAAGACAAGTGAGTCTTTAGATGCCTTGTTTTTTTTTTTTAATGCCCTGGTTTTTCCATATCAGAAAGCTTTAACAGATTTAGCTGTAGGTAATCATGTGATAAAAGTCCTGCTTTTCAATTAAAGACTGAGGGTTTGGTAATATAACAATGCGTTTCTTTGCATTTTGGTTCATAACTTGATCCAACACGACAGAGAACATGCATCAAACTGACTTTCCCACCATGTTCCAACCTTCATCTCTAATATTTACAAAATCACATTGACCTCGTACTTAGCTCGCTCATGCTCGTTTTGCTGCATCTTTAACTGAAGTGGACGCCTGCAGGGAAACAAACTCGACGTCCAGCCTTTCGCACAGCATCCTTATGTAATATATAAACACTTGATAAAGCTGGATTATCACATGGTGCACGCAGGAAACGCCAACACATGACGCCTGGCTCTTGGTTCAATATTAGACATTTATATTTTATGTTCCAGTTCCTACATTCCCAGGCAACTAGGATCACACTGTAATTCGTAACAGGATCCCTGGTTGGTGCTTGTATACACAGCGTAATACAGGGCACATCAGGGAAATATGTGTGGTTCTAAACAGAGCGCTAATTGGACCACATCTACACCATCTTTGCCCTGCAGTTACTCATTACTCAGCAATGTCCTGGCCCTGTTCCCCCACTACACAAGACCTATAAAAAAAAAAGAAGCTGGATGACGTAGGTGTTAGTGGTTTATGGTTTTCTGAGAGTGTGCATATCTTTGCTTGTGAGAGCATGCATTCTTTATGTGTATTTGTGGGGGGGGGTGGGCATGTGATCAGATGTGCAGTCTACCTCACCACCGGTACGAACCCCTGACATCCCTCCGTCTGCCTCCATACCCTCGCTTGGCTTTATGTAAAAAATCAAAGTTATTCCTGGCAGCACCGGCTCGGCATGAGGGAACTTCTGAGGAATGCTCCCAGCATGCATTACAGCACGCCAGGCACCCCCACCCAAGTGGGGTCTGGTTGGGGGGGGAGCAACTTCTGTCATCCTCGCTGTTGGATGGGATCTCCCAACCACACATCATCAGTTACGATAAATGGACTTCCAGCTGGCACCATCCTCTCATAGTTCAGCTCAGTCGGTACACTCCAGAGTTAGTAACCGGCGGATTACTGTATTTGAATCACCGCTAAGATGCCACTAATTTCATAATTATATTGATTTACAGTGAACATGCTGGTGGAGCTGAGTTTACGTAACGCTGCCATATTTTTTCTCTTAGCAACCAGTGTTCATGCATAGTTTGACGACAGACTAAAATCTAAATAAAACCTATGGTAGCAGCTGAATCCATTAAGTCCGGTTTAGATGTGTGACTCTTAAAAACTCCACAATGGCTCATGCACACCACATGGCTTTTCACTCAAACAATTTTTTAAATGAACATAGGAGTCCAACTCCCGCAAACTTCGATTGTGAAGTGACAAAAAACATCCTAGCCCCCGTGGCGGTCCTCAAATGTGTTCAACTGAAAGAATAATTCCTTAATGTGCTCAGGAGAATGGAATGTTTTAACATTTACAAATCTATAAGACCTTGATAATCTCAGGCTCCTTTGGGAGATGATTTAATCTAAATCTAGATAGCGGCCACTAAATGGGGCTTGTGGTGAGAGTGTTTTCATAACCACAGTGCCAACCGTCTGGCATTAACTTTTATTCTCAACATATAGGCTCACATGGGATGAAGATGTTTAAAGTTCCTCTATTGTCATTGTTTAAACCCCTAAAAACTAATTTCTGTCCATCAAAGCATCAGACTTATTGTGTTTTCTATACAAATGATCACTTTCTGCCTTAAAAGAGCTTAGATGTAACTCTACACCATTGTTCCCTTTAGAATGTGCAGATGTATGAAGTCTCTGCCTCGCTTTCCACTTACTCATCTCTACTCGCTGCAGCTCAAGCACACCAGCTCACCTCCAACTCTGCTCAAACAATGCAAAACTACTTTAGGCTACACATTGGTGAGACTGTCATTGGAAAATCTAATTTTTTAACACTTATAGTTCTACAACAATTTGGTCAACCTAATCTGCTGGGAAAGATGATAAGGTACAATCAAAAGTCCCACAACACCTCCTGAACTGTGATATTGATTTGCCAGCCGTTTTATTTAAATCAAAGCCAACAACAAGATGCGCTCAGCTGGAGCACCATCTTTGGTTGCTTCCAAATGAACCTCCATCATGACTGTCAAACTCCTTTTGAAGTTGTGTTTTTACCAAGTTTGGACAAAAAAGTACTCCTGAAACCAATTAAAACAATAAAATCATAAGCAGAGAAACATCTGCACGTAGATATCTGATTATTATTTCATTCAGAAGGCGAACGATCATCTGGTGATAAAGTCGTATTCTGTCCGGTTGTAGCTCGTGCGTCTCTTTGGAATGTCTGGATTCAGAAAAGAAAAAGTTTTATTTTTTTTCCACCATTTCTCTCTGACTAAGGTAATATATAGTCTGTGCTGTAATCAGCCTGCACCTGAGTGGGGCAGTAAATCACGGTGGTCTCTGGCTGTGAGCGAAGGAATTCACCAAACAAGGGGCTGAGTGAGAGCACACCTCAGGCTGCTGCTGCTGGGAAATCGCTCGCTCATCCACACACAAACAGCATCATCCAGTTGCTGTCGTACACCAGAAGGGTGACGTATACTGTACTCGGTAGTATGACTTACTCAACTATGTAATATACACTTTATGCACCAATGACACAAAGGTTCAACTGAACACCTTGTGAAACATCCGCTACATACAAAGCAAACTAAATCCCTGCAGGTGTCCTGTGTCTATTTACTTCCCATGTTTCCTATTCCTTCTGTGGCCACATCGTCCATCAGGCTCTTCTTTGTAGGCTACTTAAAAAAAAAAAACAGGCCAACTGTTGGCTTTCCGATCCCTTGTTGCATTAACAGTTTTGTGTTTCTCCTTTCTCCTCGGCGGTACAGTAAATATACGTCAACAAATGTTTTACACCTCAGCTCGTCAGTGTTTATGGGGCAATCAGCAGCTTTAATGCCGGCGCAAAGGCCTCCTGGGAGATTCCTTTTGGCACGCCGAAGAGAAAGGAGATATAACGCAGAGAAGTGTCCTGCTGTTAAGATTTCCTTCCACTTCCTTCAGCCACTTCTAGTCAATTAAAAACAGAAGTATGATATATTTTGCATTTGATCCAAACATGAGCAACACATTTCCTGTATTCTGTTTGACAAATTTGCCCATAAAAATGAAAACTTAAGATCTGAAAGTCTCGGCAGTACTATGAATCCTTCTGGTAGCTCAGAGTTGATTGACAGCAGAACAAATGGTCGGAGCTGTCAGCAGATAAGTAGCAGCATTAGCAGACTTACAGGTTAAGAAGTGAAGTGAGTGTTTATGTCACCGAGAGGCCAATAGGTAGCGTGAAAGGCAAAATTTTGTGGTAAAATTCTTGCTCTCTGTGTCCAAAGGTGTTCATTTCAGAAACCAAAGAACCCCAGCGCATGCCTCAGACGATGCCCAGAGAGCTTAGCCCGGGCCTCTGCACATCTTAAACAGATGTCTTCACGCAGAAAGCATCTACTGCGAAAGCATCTGTAAGGATAATAACATGTTCTTGCTTAATTACTGCAGCTTTTATGAAAGAAAAACAAGACATTTCGAGAAATATTTTCTCTGTGAGCGCAGAAAAGTGCAGGGGATATTTGCTTTGGTTTGTCATGCACCCAAAACCATTTAAACACACAACATGCGAGGAAGCGAGCGAGCAAATCACATCCAAGTCTAACACAGCTTCTTATGCCAATACCAAATAAGGCAACGGAGCAAGCGTCTCTTTTATTGCCCTTGCAAAATCTCTTCATACTCAGACTGCGGCTCACTTCGCTTGGTGTTGGTTTGAAAACTAAAAGTCGTCATCGTGATAAAGCAAATTCAAGGACACAGCTTAGTATTTACCTTTCTTATCCGCAAGGTTTTTTTTACTTTTATGGCCAAAGCTTAACAAAAACATCAGTTTTTAACAATTTATCAGAACAAAGAAAACAACTGCCAAACAATTGTTAGGTAAAGTAATGTCGGGTTTGTTTATACAGCCCCAAATCACTCGTTTGTCTCCGGGGGCCTCCAGATAATGGTTCATTATCTGCAGCAGTAACTGCCGTGTAGCTGATAGAGGCTGCTCCTTTCCAACCCTGTTTGCAATAACTCTGCATCAGGAAGGACCCAATAATGCCTGCTAAGCACGGAAACAATTACTACAACAAAAAAAAATCTGTTACTTACCAGCTCGTAGTTTGTCGCCGGAACACAGGATGAAGACACCTGAAAACAAACAGAGCACTGGTCAGTTACACTGTACAGTTACGTTCATGTGGGAACATTGAAAACAGCAACCCTTTTTGCACGCACGCACCTATGTTTAGATTACATTTTTTGCTTCATGTCTTGTAGGTGTACCCAGCAATTCTTTAAGTCAGGTATTGTGTTTCATATCCACTGCAGATCCAAATGTTCAACCAGGAAAAGTCTTCATTAGACTTCTCTAATCAATATTATTATATAAACAAACAGAAAAATGGATGATAGTAATGTAAAAGGTTCCACTAACAAATCTGCATAGAATTATAACCCAATGCAGCAGTTTTCCTCAACTCCATCGTGTGTTTTAGCGTCTCTCGGTGTGCAGCAGACTGTTCCAGCTCGCTCGAAATGCCCATTAGACACGTTTGTGGCAGCAGCAGGTAGCTGCTTTTAAGCAAAGAAAGTTCCACCCAGCACAAAACAGCAATCCAAGTTATGAATGCATCTTCAAATAAGGCTGCGTATCGGTGAACTGCATGCAGCAATGCCATCAGAAAGGACAAGGGTTGGAACTGGCACCGGTTAAGCTTTCTCGCTAAAATAATCATGACAGCAGTACCATTCATTCTGAGGACAAAGTAATGACAGAGTGTTGCCACGGCAGTATTCAGACCGAAAGGCTAAATATTCGTCTCTGCGACATAAAAGCCTGATCGCTCACGCTGTAAGATCTTGTTCAACTCGACCGAAGTACAAAGTGTTGGAGCGATCCCACCACTGGCTCACCAGCAGAACAGAACTCATGATCTGTCAAGTGCTCGGACTAATCCGATTACCATCCGACAGTTTTCATAATCATCCCGTGAGCTCGGAGCGAGGACTGAAACTGATAAACAGGAAGAGTGTAATGATGATGGCCTCTAACTGCAGATTTAAATAAAGTCCTTCTAGAAAAAGATGGTGGCTTGATGAGGATGGATACAAACAGGATGTCACCGCTGATGTTTCCTTCCTGGGCATGTCTGTGTTCTGTCCCTTTGTGTCTGCGTTGCTATCATTCTTCTGATATTGTTCATGGGGGGGGAGGGAACCCTACAAACCTAATTTTCACCAGTTAGTCATCTCATCTGTTTGAGAACTAACTGGTGAACAATAGCGCAGCTTCACGATTGTAGCAGGCTTCTGGCTTGTTTGCATCCTTTATCCTTCTTTTATTACTACGCTGTCTCTGTTTTAGCTTCGAAAGATTAGGCCTCAAGGTTATCACAACTGTTGACCTCTAAAAGCACCTTTCATCTTTGCTGCTACTCTACCACTCTCCTTATCCGAGACTAATTGTGTCATTGCTTGAACAAAAGGCTTCTGGTCTGTCAGGGTCTGCTTTGTGTTACTGTAGCACATTCCTCGTCTGCCCGCAAAAATAAAACGAAATCCTGTCCGCCTGCGTCTTTGTGTTTGCCTTTTGAAAACGTCATGCGCTCTCGTTAGGTTTTCTTGCAACTTAACACGAAGTTATTGAGCGGATTTTGGCCAAAGAGTGAAACACATTCATAACGTATCACAGCTTCTTAGCTCCGAGAGCAGACAGTTTGTCAATGATGCTAATGTTCGTTGTGTTTCACACTGAAACCACCAAACTATGTGCAAATGTTGGCAGTTTCAATGCCAGATTTCAATTGATGAAGTGTTTTTTGTTGTTTTTGTTTAACAAGCCAGACACTAGGCAGGAGGGTTTTCCAAAACCTAACTGACACTGGAATTGACATCAACATGTTAATATTGCCTCACACATCGGTCCAGCTAAATTATTAGTCGTTCTCCAATTTCAGTTTGAAACCAACAAAGTCCCAAAGCCCTGTGTAAATCTAAGGCCTTATTTAATTGCATAAACAAGTCTGCTTTTGAGATGTAGTATGTTTGACTAACTACCCGCAGCGGATGCTTCCAAACCTAAAAGGACCACTGGATGATTGCCATTGGGATGTTAGGATAGCTGATTAGATTTACAAAGCTGAGGATATGTGAGTCACCTTGGGTCATTAAAGACTCTTGGTCTGTTTTATAGCTGTTAGCCCATCTGGAATACTGGAATGCTAACTCTAAACAGGAAAAGACTTTAATCAGATTACATGTTTCAGTCCCTTTTAGCAGCAGAAGCAGCTGATATGAAAAGAGATCGTTCCTAAATTTACGCCAGGTTCCAATACAGTAACTGTTAGTACGTCAATAAAACCCTTACACGCTTGTTAGCTGCGATGATGCAGTCTGGGAATGACTTCACACTGGTGGCCAAAGTGAGGTTCAGAAGAAGATTCTTTTTACATATTTCACAGGAACAAAATGTTCCTCGGTGACTGCTGTCCGTCACAGTTTCCCGGCACATTGTCATACGCATCCCGGGCCTACTTGAATGATGGCATGTCAGTGGAATGCATCTCTGTTTTCAAGAATTCCATCTTGGCACGGTGGAGGGTGTGGAGTTGACAGGATACAGTATCAACGTCTGCCTTAAATCACCCCCCGTTACAAGTTATTCTAACCCTCCCCGAAATCCCTCCACCCAGGAGCCCCGCCATCCTCCACCATCCTTATCAGTCACGCACAACGACATGCCGTTCTTCTCTCGGGGGCCCTGCTCCTTCAAGGGTCCTGACTCCTGGGGCCTGCTCAGTGTTTTCACCTGACGCCGCCTCTGCCCTGCTTACTGCTGTCAGCCAGCACGGAGCAGGTTTACAGCAATTCAAGTTATGGACTAGTTTTGGAACATCTTAAAAAATGTAAACATCCCAGTTAAAGAAATCTCCACACCTTGATTTTAAGGAATCAATCCATGCAAACTCAGCAAGTCTAAAGGGAAGCAGGATGATCTGGAATCTTTGGATCCTTTGTTGATGATTAAACCCAGTGATGACCAGAGATATAATGACTAATGTGTTATTTCATGTTGTTTAGACAGGCATTCAAAGCTCATACTCTACACTCAACAGTCCACGTCTGCACATACGCAGGTGTTTTTACTTATTTTGCTCACCTCAGGACTCTGTGTACCGACAGTGATTGATTGACATCTCCCTCCCACTGCTGTTAGTTTCAGTGGGCCCGTGGGGTGAAGTTTAAACTTTGGTATTAGCGCGTGGTGTTTGGTGACCTCACGTCATTCCCACCAGAGCTCTGCACAGCTTCAGTCTAGCAGAGGTCGTATACAGCCAAGCAATAAGCCGTGCTGTTAGACGTTGCTAGCTGCTGCTGTATTTCTCAGCACACTTCAAACTGACAGCTAGAAATTTCTCAGAATATTGAATATGAGCACATTTGTGAAGTCTGATAGGATATGTTCTGTCAACTTGTCTCAGAAGATGTAAAACATTGTTGGAGAGATATACACATGCATTTTTAAAGAGCTCTGTTTTTGCTTTTTTGTTTATCAAATGCTGAAGTGCCTTACAAATTATTAGTTTTTTTTCTAACAGGCAGCAGGAAGTGACTTCTCAAAAAGAAGTCAGAGTTTATGAGAAAATGGCCTTTCTTGTCACTCGATCGGTTACCCCAGTAAACAGTTTTCCAACAAGTTTATGGTCTGAATCACTAGTTTCAGGTCTTTTCAAACAAAGCACGGAGATCATTTTTCAAATTATGATCCCATTCAAAGGACAGTCGACGGTAAAGCAGGGTGTGTTTCAGGGCGGGGCTGTCTTGTGATTGACAGGTTGCTACTGTATGTGTGCATGTAGTGTCGAGTTCTTAGTCACATTAACACTTCACTTGCTATGTGTTTCAAAAAGAGCAAGATGGCGAATGTCATGTGACAACCAATTACATATGTGCAACCATACATACCAGATAGATACAAGTTTACGTCACAGCTTCTAAAGTTATACCATCTCAAAGGATCAGTGTGTCTTCAAACTGATCTCTGACGTAGAATAACCTTGTAGACAACTTCTGTACAATAAACACTTCTTTACCAGGGCTTTGTGTTGTCCAAAGGTTTAAGCCATCAGATGAGCTGTTATTAGGCCTGATGCAATGAAGAAATTATTGGAAATTTAAGCATTAAATGCCTCATTTTCAGGACCCGACGCCAGCAGATAAAACACTAAAAACACAAAGAGCCACTTCATGAAAACGCCTCCAATAAACAAAAAGACGATGACAGCTGGCATTTAGCTGAATGTCATATCCAATGAAATTCATCCTCTTTATTTATGATTCAATTATGTTTGAGACAACATCAGCAACAAGTTAGCCCATGTCGTCAGTGTAATAAAACCTCTGACGTAAAGGTCAGGTTGAGAGGGTCGCTAGTCTGCCTACATCTGAATAGCTCACATTCTCCCTCATGCTAAGTAGCTGCTTCCTTATTTGTTGATGGAGTGAAACTTTGCACCATTGTAGTCTGGCGAAGCAGTCGGGGGCAGAAACCACAGCGAATATTTATCTAAAGGCAGGGTGCAGGTGAGCACTTAGCAGAGGGCTAGCCACAGGTCAAGCAGTGGGAAACCACTGTGTGAAAAATGTTCCAGACAAGAAACATGGAACATAAAAAGCCTGCATGGATAGAGCATGTGAGCAGCAGTACGTTCATGCTCGTGATTTCTTGCACCTCCCAAACCCGGTCCAGCATGTTAGTCCTGATAGACACAAATGTAAAACTACAATGACATTTGGTAGAGATCCTGATGGTGTATCATTGAATTCTACTTGGTTACCCCTGACTTTTCCACATGGTTCAAATTTGCAGTTTTCGTGAAATGTTTCAATAACTATTGGATGGATCTCCATGAAATGCTCCATGCAAACATTCAGGTAATGTAAATCCTAAACTCTTCATCTTTGGTTTAAGACCAATACTTGCAACTAATGCCACTTGGTGGTATTAAAATGTTAGCGTGTTAAACTTCAGGCACACAGTATATAAGAATATTTTCAAGTTATTACAAGATAAGATCAGAACATTGCACCAGCCTCAGTAAAACACTAATAAATGTATATTCCTGCACCTAAATCAAGCATGGAAACAA